GATGGTTGATAGATGATGGTGAGGTGACAATGGTGTTGGTGTTGATAATAGTGGGTTGATAGTTGGATGATTATTTGCTTTTTATAATCATACCTTTTTTATTCAATTCCTCTAGAATAGTATCTAATGCTTCTTTGGATAGTTTTCCTATATTGAGTTAAGGTTTAATATTCTCTTTTGAGATGCCACAATGTCAGTTATTTATTTATAAGTAAAAAATTGTACGCCCATTGGTTATCTCAAACTAACTCAAACTAATATTTTAAAACTGCCACTCCCGGCCTGTACTGGGCTCTTCCGTGAGGTTCCTTCCACACACACTACCACTACACTCAGTAATTACAACATACGAGACATAACTCAAATGCTTTTTTTAGAGGGATGAAACAGGATAACCCTGAGAAAACCCTCTCAGCAAGGGATAGAATAACAAATCAAACAAACTCAACTCACATATGATCTAGTCTAAGCCGGGGCTTGAGCCTGGACCACATCAGAGAGCGCCAAGTGGCAATTCAAGGGAAGTAAATTTGGTGAGACAAAAAGTTCTAAGACAGTACCTCAAACATGCCATCACTGATTATGCCCCTGTTAAACCTTTTCATTGAGACAAGTAAATGTGGTACAACATAAACTCTCTACGATAGTACTATATAAAACAAGCTACAGTATCATTGAATATGCCTCTGTTAAACCTTTTCATTAAGGCAAGTAAATGTGGTTTAACATTTAAACTGTCTACAATAGTACTATGATATCATACATATTATATCACTGAATATATTTCTCTTAAACCTTTTCTTTAAGGACAGGGAATAATTTCTAGACMTACACAGTCATATGAAAATAAAAGGATACTATTAATTTTCTTATTATAAAAGAGTTCACTTGACATTGCCTCTGTAACATCTAGCATGTATGCCTTCTTGTTTTTGTAATATGATAAGATCAAATCACACCACGCATCCAGCTGCTTATTTCTTGTATCAAGGTTAGGTTGTAATCTTTGAACACAGAAAACAAATTAAAGCAAATTAGAAAAGAACAATTAATAAACATAAATTTAAAGCACTTTTTAAAATTCTGCCACCTACCAACTACAGACTTACAATGAACTGAGCTTATTCTGATCTGAATATAATAAAATAATAAAATTCCTGCTCAACCAATCAGAGACAACCGTTTCCACACCTTTAAATGTACATGATATTTTGATTCCAAGGGTTTCATCTTAATCAGAAAGAACTATTTGAACTTCTCAGCCATATTCATAGCAACAACTAAAAGATGCTGTAGAGTGGCGGAGATTTCTTTCTCAGTTGCTCGAGATCGGAATGAACTCGGCCCATCGTCAGTTTGATTAACGGTTCGAAGCAAAAACACCAGACGTTTGGAGTTGGTATGTCACAGAATTAAGGAAGGCGGTGTTAAAAACAGCAAGAAGGGGATCGAATATTTCTCCTTGCAATTTCCAATCAAAAACGATTAACAGTCGTTAAAGTAAAAAAAGAAAGGAACAGCTACAGAATACCCCCTCCGAATCTCGTACAATCCATCAGTCAGATTCAAGTCAGAATACAAAATCTGTAACGCAGGGAATAGGACTAAACGTTTGGGATTCAACTAATGCTGGACTAGTTACGTAAATTTATCTTATAGTCCAGGTTATTCTATTTTGGGGAAGGAAAACTTTATAAGAATAAACAAGTTTGTGAGACTGTCAAATCTAAGTTTACGTGTAGCTAAAGTCGTATACAATCGATGTGTGTCTTCATAGATGATCTATTTTTGTCTGGCATTAGTTTAAGTATAAATAAAGGTAGATATAAAAAATATCTAGTGGTTATTTTGTTCATAACTTACGTGTAAAAAGGCGGAAAGTTGTACTGCCATGGCCACTCGAACTGATCCGCCATCTTGAATCGGGCGAGGGTACTAAGACCAAGGATTTACCACAGGTAACCCATAAATAGATTTGCTTCATGGATGAATGTGACATAGTCGCCCTTGTGTATGCTCATTGACGTGTGTCCGTTGTCGTATGGACATATATACTCTTATTTGTGACTTTAATCTGAGAGTTCGGATTTGATTTCTTTTCATGAGAGGGAAAGCATGCGAACATTTCTGGTTTTATTTCTCTTGTTTTGCGGTGGGATTCCTGGGGAAATCAAGCGGGATTATAAATTTTCAACCCATGTTTTGCTATTCACCCCAAAAAAGACATACAAGCAGGCAATTTGGGATAAACCCTAAATGAGCAATTCATCCAGAAATATTTTTTTTGTTTTCTATATACTATTTTGGGACCATACCTCCAGACCTAGTGCTGAAGCGCAGTATGGCAGCGCGAAGCATTTACGGCTATGCCGGAGATTTCGGCCCCGACACCGCTATCCAATGACTGATCAGGAAGCTCGGCCTAAGCCTAAGGGAGAGGTTAGTCGGCCCCTAGACCGTAGATGATTAACCCCTTGCTATGACCAGCGAAATTACGATATTTCATTTCAACGACCACTATTTTATGGGTGTGTTAATCCATGTGGGAGGCGTTTTGAATGATTCATATATTCGTCCGGCCTATTATAAGATGATAATAGACATGCGCATATCAGCTTTAACTTTTTGCACTCCAATATCAGGTTGAGGGACTCGGAAAACAGATTAAGGGATACTCTCAAATCAGCTGATTGAGGATACAAAAAAATACATAATAATAATAATAATCCCGTTACCTAAAATGCCTTATCTGATTTAGGATAAGTGTATTGGTGAACTAACCTTGCTGGCCCTTCGCCATGGAACTCACTGCCAAAACAGTTCAAGACATTTTGCGACACAAAGAGCTTCAAAAAGGAGCTAAAGACTTTCTTATTTAAATCTGTGCATAGTTCTTGAACTTTTTAAGAAATAAGTATTGAACTATTTCAAGGCATTTTAATTAGTAATTAGATGTATTTAGTATATAGCTTTATTTATTCATTTTATGATTTATCTTATCTTTTTTCATTAGACCTGATGATGTTGTCGAGATGACAGCGAAACGTTGTCTTTTACAACTACTATTCTTATTAAATTAAATATTTATCTTTATTAATTATTTATTTTCTAGAGTGTATTGTAAAGCTCCATGGAGTTATATATGTTTCGATTGCTTGTTTTGTTTTTCCATCTAGGACCCGGCGACATTCCATTGGTGTATATGAAGCTTTATAAATGTAGAATTTATTATCATTTTATATTATGAACGAAAGGCGGATGAGACGCGATAAGTAATCATAACATTTTAATTCATCCATCTGAATACTATTCATAGATATACTATATAAATTTATTTTCTAGTATTTAAGCAGACAAGTTTCTGTTTAAAACGGGTTTGTATTTCGCCATGATAAATCGCGTATAGGATTGGCTAAGATTTCAATGTCATTCAAAATGTGTTTAGTCACGTAGTAATTCTAACTTCTGCATTCCAAGGGAAAATTGCATGAACACTTGCACTGCGCGGAATTGTGGGGCCAGTTTATAGGCAATCGCAGTCCTGCGATTTCAACCCTTGAAGATGTTCCATTCCATCATCGCTTTTTTACTCCTGGAAATATGTCCCGTTCGTCATGCAGATAATATACTAATAAAGTCTTTATTGAAATTTGCGGTCATTACTACATTAATATTCCAATGGCCGTTTGCGTTATAGCTCCACATACTACAACTACCAGAATCCCTTGCACACTATCTTTTGCTCAGTTAATAAGCACTAATTGCTATAGTTATAAGGAAACAAAACGTTATACAATTAAGTAGGGAAAATCATAAGCATTCTGGTGGTGGTAGTAAAATGACTAAAGTCATAACGCAAAGGTCTATTAATATGTCAGTCAACCGCTAACGCATACTCGAGAATCTAGTTTAATTTACTGCTGGACACTTGAGTATGCCAACGTCATTGGTAAGCTTCTAAATGCTTCAGTGGATCAGTATCAATGGGTTTTGTATAAGCTCTTAGAAACTGCTTATAACACAAAATTTTTCATCATCATGGCTGAACACGTTGAAGTTCAGTAATGTCTCTTATGATGATGATGATGGTGGTGGTGGTGATGATGATGGTTTTGGTGGCCAGCCAGCTTGCTCTTTGGAAAAATTAGAATAAGAATAATCATATAACCAATTCGTCCTTAACAGAATGCTATGTGTGCTATATTTTCCTTAAAATGCTACGTGTCAAAATTTCCTTATCTCAAAAAGGTCTAGTTTAAGTCGACGAAAATACTCGCACGTGTCATGTATTTTTGCGGATGAAGGGGAGTTTGAGAACCAATAAAAATCCACCCATGAAGTAGTAAAAAGCAGCACATTTTACTACAATGCAATTCATTCATGTTGCCCAAAACCTAAACATACGCCATTTGTATGCAATGCCCAAAAGAAGAATTCATTAGCCTACCAAGGGCGCGATATAGGAGAACAATTTGACCAACGTAAATTAAAATGTTTCAAGGATTGTGCTGCAGAAAGTATGGACTTATACACCGTTCTCATAATGGCTGACAAGCGCACCAAAACGAGGCCACCCAGTCATCTTGCAAGGCTGAGCAAGGCTGCTCATACAAAGTATGATTGCATAGCGCGAATTCAGGTAAGAACAAAAAGTCAATTTCTATACTTTTCTTTACTTTCCTTCTATAAACGCATTTCATGCGCTTTTATATCTTCTATTGTAAACTAATGACTGGTTGACCTCGTTTTCGTGCACTTGTCAGCCATTATGAGAGCGGTGTATATAATTATGTATTAATGAATTGAACTAGTTAGTAAGGAAAGCCTAGTAACTTGACATTTACATAGTTCGGTTACCTTTTTACTGTTTTTTGCTTTTTCATTACGTTGAGCTTTCTTTTGATCTTCTTTTTCTACTTTCGCTGTCTTTGATCTCTGTTTTATTTCAAATGAATAAGCGTCAAAATTACCTTAGCGTTTCAGCACTAAGGATTGGACCATTAAGTATAATTGGAGGGGGTTTTGCAGGAACGTATGCGGCAAGATATATATATATATATATATATATATATTTTTTGTAACGGCCCCTGCACACATTTTTTTGTGCTTCCTTGCTGTTTCTTTACAGAAAGGAGAGGTTGTGCGATATTTTTTCGTGGGTGCTCGATATTTTTGGGGAGATTTACAGTTAAAATCCCTTATTGCTTTGAGACAATCCACCCCTCAATTATCTAACGGTCTGTTCCTGACCCTATTTCATTCAAGGCTGATTCGAGGCTAACTCTGAGAAAACGAGTCTGTAATCAAGGAACACAGCGTTAATTTAGAACTAATTTAAAAGGTCTATTCCTTCACGGAAATTAAGCGTATGAATGAAGATGTAGTGTCACAGTCGTCAAAGAAAGGAGTTCAAGAATTACCTGTACCTTGTTGGTCGTCAGGTCGTTCGATAGTAGACTGTGAATGTAACAGAGAATAATGATATGGTCAATGTTTCAGTCAATTAGTCAATGCAGTCATCGATGTGAAGAAATTTTCATTTTTTTGAAGGATTTATGAAGTTTGTAAAGTGTTCAGTTTGTTGGAGTTAGCTGAAGAATAGAGGTAAGTAGAGTATTAAACGAAAAAAGTCTTGAAATGTATCGAACCCTGAAACAACAAATGAATTTGTTAACAAATCCACCTCGTCTGCTTGGACGTAATGTTTTCCATTTCAGACTACGCGTCATTGTCTTAGAAGGGAATAATTATTTGTTTGAGTCGTATTTAATACTGATACCCCTTGCATGTGTCCTCAAAGCAGCTTGATTTGGAGGACAAATGACATGAGGATTGAAAACCTATTGTTATGTCCTCCAAACTGAGCTGCATTCCGATTGATTGCAAGTGGTTAAATAAAGGAATGATGCCCTAGGGAAGTGACACATGGTCTGAAACGGGAAAATATTACACCAAAGCTAAAAGGGTCTATACGATTATAAAGTCGTACTTTCTTAAAGCCCATGCCGGCTGCACCACCAAATGATTGCATTCCCCCCATGCTTCCATAAGACTGTGGCAGACCTCCCATACTGGCTCCAGCAGGTTGAGCCTGCATACTTTGCATTCCACCCATCATAGCTGCGCCCGCCTGACCTCCTACCATTAGAGGCTGTTGTTGTTGGGCCCCACCGTACCCAGCCGAAAGAGAACCCATACTATTTCCTCCGAACTCCAAAGGTGCACCTCCTTGCATATTGCTAACTTCCACTCCAGCGACGCCTTGAAGGCCACCACCTGCTGTAAACCTGCTATCTCTCTGGGAAGGCTCACTATCTTGGTAGGAGCCAGTGCTCATTTGGGTCCCTTCTGCGCCGCCTGTGAAAGCATTGGACATCATTGGGGAGACCTCCTGTTGGCCCATAGATTCTGATTGGGTGAATCTAGACAAGCCTTGCCCTCCATTGCTGTCTAAACTGAGCCCATTCAAGCTTCCCATTCCTTCCGAGCTAAACTGCTTTGGAGGTCCTTGCATTTCACTGGGACTGAGTTTACTGGCTTGTCTTATGATACTTGATAAATCTTAAAAAGAATTGCAAATTTGTTAAAGAAAGCGAAAAACAAAAGCAATTTCAAAAAAGCATGTTAAACAATTAAAAGAAAAAAAATCTGTCGTGACTGAACGGGATATTAAATGTTCTTGCTTTTATAAAACTATTGAACAGGTTAAAATCAAATCAGTAGCCAACTTAGTGTTGTACGGCGAGCTTTTGTATTCCCCGTACAAACATCAATCATATATGACATGTCAGCTTGGCGTAATGCTTTGTCATTAAAAGCGACTTGTTATTCTCTTAAAAACGGTTCTCATAATCGACGCAAGCCAACGCCATCACTAGACGCAGCTACATGTCCTTACTTTGAAAAAAGCAACGCAAGCGCTAAGAGAAAATTTTCTTTGTCTTGCTTTGGCTTCCTTATGGTCTTATGTTTCCATCGCCTTCGGTAGTGAGATCATCAGGCTTTTAGAAAAATGTTCTTGTTTTAAATTAAATCCATGCTCTGACCGACAATGGGGAAGACATGTATACGGCTTGAAATGAAATGGGATGGCGCGTTTTACTACAAACAATAGGATTGTTTTAGTCTTAGAAGGCCTAAGCTCGTTGCTGTAACTTCTAAATATTATAACTAGATGAATAGTATGTTAGTCAAAGACAAACCTGCTTGCCGGTATGGCATCGATGGACTGTCCAACCCCGCAAGGACTGTGSATTCAGAAGCATGCAAACAAGAATGATACAGGATAGTTTCTGGTTAGATTAGTGCTCAATTAACATGCGTCAAAGTAACATTCTAATTTATAATTGTAAAATGAGGTTGTGAGCGCAAAAATGACTTTATATACATGCATTATCAGTCAGACTGAAAAGACAATCAAACAAGCGAAACATCGAGGCAGAAAAACCGAGAGACAGGAACTCAGAGAGATAGACAGACAAACAGGCATAACAAAGTGGCGCAGTCAATTCTTTTGCACAAAGACTACACAAATAGACAACAGATCAGATGGACAGACAGACAGGGCAAACACTGAGAATGTTTGTTAGCGTCCGTCATTCATAAATGTCATGACAAGCACAGAGACAGACAGATAGGTAGATAGTCGGGCGGATAGAAAGAGACACATAGATAGGTGAATCGAACAACATGCTGACAATGAATTATGCGTAGTACAAAAGAATATTTCACTTGCTTTTAGTTTTCTTACCGTTTTGCTGATGGCCATTGGACTCAAACGATTTGATTCTAGGAACTTCGTACGACGCACCAGTCTCCATTGGACGTTGCGCTTCTTCTTCTCGGAACCTTGCACCCTGTCCTTCGTTACTGTTACCGCCTACTTGGACGACAGTAGCCCCTTGATCACCCATAGTGGCTGATCCGCGAGAAGACTGGGACTCGGATGCTACTGCTTGCTGAATTTCATTCAGCTCATGCGCACTCTCAGACGCGACTTGGGCTTGGATACTTTGTTTCTGCAAAGAGTACAGTTAAAGAAAGGATGATAACTAGTCTATTGACCTGAACGTTTTCATCAATGTCACATTAGATCAGTTCACAAAGAAAGTCCATTACTCATAGCGCGATGTTTTGTTGTTTTAAGGCTGCGTCTACGCGGTACCGGAGAAATTTTTTACCGGTCAGAAATTCGTACGTTTAGATGTTCCGTTCACACGGGACTGAGCTATCCAAACAAAAATTCGTATATCTAGCCGAGCAAATTTGGAACTAGTTCAGTGTAAACGGATTGTATTATTACGGTTACGTATAAACGTTATGTACAGGTCAGCCTTACATATCATTACCTCAGCAGCATCTTGTTTCTGTATATTCGTAGACCAGCTTCCCTTGGAATTCCCAGCCGGACCATCATCCCATCCTTGACCTCCATAGCCGTCTTCGTACTTCTTTTCCTCCTCAGCCTCTAAAGCTAGTCGATCCTCTAGTTTGGTATCTTCTTTATACGCGTTTGTGTTTGAAGACACGTCTCCCAGTTCAGCCATACCCATCAGATGGGAGAGACTTGGTTTACGGTGGACTCTGTGTTCCTTGATTCTTTTCATCGCGGTATGTTCACTTTCGTCGTCTGAATCTGTAAGAGAATGAGCCAAAGTGCTTTGGATTGGAACTACAGAGTAAAAAGTCATATGACGCCTAATTTACCACTATCTTTGTTATCATTGATGCTAATATCCAAATGTAAGGACCAACAAGCAACGTATTAACGCTACTCTTGTACCGCATTAAGTTCGGGAGTCAATCCCTGGTCGCATTGGTGAATGATCATTGTGATCATCCTTTAGCCGTGAGATATAACTATATACACCGTTCATTCCCATTTCTAACAAGAAAAGCCGAGGAGTTTTACCAATTTCAATTTTAGTAAAAACTTTTTTAATTGAACTAACCACTTTCCTTTTTATCAAGGTGTTTCATCATAAGGTTGACCTTCTTTGCAGCGTGCCCTTCTTTCATTGATGAATCATCCTCGACCTCTGATGCCAGTCTGTTCACCTTTTCCTCCGACACTCTTGCTTCAGCCTTGTGGCCGTGTGCGATGGAATCCTCTGCAGCCAGCGACGCTGCTGCTTCTGCCTTGCGCACTGCATCTTTCACTGTGGAAAAAGGGAAGTCTGGCATTATTTAAGATTGAGGAGATTTGAAGGTGTTGTGGGGTGTGGTCAAGCTTCCTGTCTTCCATATAACGTTCCTTGAAAAAAATCCCTACCATGGGGAGAGGGGCAAGGGAAGGAATTCGCAACTCTTGTCCCGTCACACTTGGACTGATTCGCTCTTGATTCAATAGTTCAATAAAAGTAATGTTAACATTTTGAGTCTTGAATTAATGACCAAAATCTAATAAAAAACATGGACACTAAACTTACAGTTTGTCAAATATTTGTTTTTGACAGTTTTCACAGCTACGCAGTAAATAAGAAATATTTCTAATTTTCTCAGTTTTTCAAGAAAGTAGAATAGGATAATAAGCAACAGAGGACTTCGAGAAAACGAAACTCGAGTTCCCTGTGCTTATAAAGCCCCGTTTACACTGGCGAATTTCGCGGCGATTTTTGCTGCAATTTTTGTGTCAATTTTCGGAAATATGAAATCTTTTGTCTCATCCTTCAAAAGAGACATTCGTCTAGGAAAATCTTGGTATCCTGAGAAAAACTTTACAAGTAAATACAAAATCGCAAAAACAAATCTCAGCAAAAGTCGCCGCAAAAATCGCTAGTGTAAAAGGGGCTTTAAAAAGGAGTTCAATGTTGATATTTATCGATCAATCAGTTTGATAGTAATAAAATAGTGTTGAATCAAAAGTCATATACCTTGTTCCTCGCCTGATTTATCAGAATCCAAAGGTGCAGCAAAAGCTAGAACAATAATGGAAAAGAAAAAAAAAAAAAATTAATGGCATTAGACAAGGCAAGACGTGGCAGGAATATTCAAGCTAGCGTGGCCCAGAGTTACACTCGAGGTTTTTATGTAACGTTTTTCGATTCATTTTTACAGGCAATAAAAACTTAACAAATTTCAAATTTCAAATTTAATGTTTGAATGTTCAATGATAGTACAAGAGTAAAAGTGATCAATGGCGGGAAAGGGTCAGTCATGCATGACACTCAGCAACTTTATATAACGCTCATATGTTATGATTCAGTTCACAATTCCGGAAATATGAAGGCGTTAAAAAAACGTCTTCTTCAACACTTTCCGCTCGTCTACGAAGGTTCGTGCTGTAAACCAGGCATAACTAGTCAGATAAAATTATGGAGTCAACTCGGCTTCAATGATTGCTACCCAGAGTTCTTTTCGGTCCAGTCGCGTAGGCTTGAGTTGGTCGCGACGACAACATTTTTTGAATTGACTATATATACTTTGCAGAAAGTTGAAGTTTCCAGTTTTTATGACTAATAATTTTCATAATAGAAGTGCCTAAAAGCTTAATTTCAAAAGTCTTTGGTAAAAAGTGGATTTTTTTTAGGACAACATTTTATAGGTGCGAGCTAAAAGGCCAGCGAAAAGTTACGTTATTCTCTACTTTCACATCCCAATAATACTTTGTGTCTTTGGGGGGTAAACAGAGAGTAAAAACCCACTTATTTTGCGGAAGGCTGATCAGACAATGTTGACAATACCTTGTTTGGTATCCAGAAATAAAATGAAGGAGTAAAAAACAGAAAAAGATAGAAGCTTGAAGTAGTTTAAGGTAAATTTTAAACATTTTCCCGTAAATCAATACATTTTCTGTAAGACCAAAACTCTTGATGATCTTTACACGCAAAAATAACTTAGAATAAACTGATAATCAGTATTGTACAGATAAAAGCAGGTATAGTAGAAATCCAATTTAAAAACCTTTCAATTCAGGACAGTTTTTTGATTGGTTACCCCCCAAAGTCGCAAAAATTGTTGTTGTTGCCTTAATTAGCAGGCTCGGCTTGTTTTTWAAAAAAAATTACCAGTGGTTCGAATGTACTCGCCTTTTTTCCATCACTGCTTCATTTTAAAAAGATAGCAGTCTAGAGCTACACGGATTAGAAACGAGTTTGTGAGATCACGAGTGTATCAAACCCAAGAATCTCTTTCTTTGTTTTATCGATATTCCAAGATCGTGTTGAATACAACTATTATTTCAGTTTTTGATCATTAAATGGTTGAAAAAAAATCGCAGAGCTATTTTCAGTCGCACAAGGAAAAACATCAGCCTTAACTAACTGAATTTGGAAATCTTATAAATAATACATATAAAAATTTTTACTAGGTTAAACTTGATCAAATTGATCTGTCAAAGTAAATAATTATACATCTAGATTAAAAATTATGTCCAAAATATGTTAATTTGCAGTTTAAAAAAAATGTCTTTACCAAGCACGCGGTTGATATTGATATCTTTTTGTTTGTGTATTTACCTAATTGCAAGAAGGTCGTCATATAAAAATCAAAAAATCAAAAATTACCGGCAATAATTATGATTATTTATTTTCCCTTACTAGTAGATTGTTGAGAAAAACTCTTTTAGTATATGCTATAAAAAAGATAATATTGAATACGTTAGTCACTACTTTCAAAACAATGAAATAATCAATCCTGGTTTACTTAAAAAATAATTGAGTCCTATTAGTTATATTGAGTCCTATTAGTTATTTCGTTTTTTTTTTAATTTTTTATTTACGTTCTTGCAATTAGGTGTAAAGATGCATATAGTATATGGTTCATATTTTGATTCAAACCAACCTTCATAACCCAGAAATATGATAATACAGGTGACCCAGATTTCTGCCTTCATTATCCAAAACATCCTTCTCTCCCAATTCTTGTTTGCTTAGATTAACAGTTACCTGTCCTTCGAAGAAATAAATACATTTTGCTTCAAAAAAACATTGAACGAAAATATTAATAAATCCTCAAAAAAGTTTTTTTTAAAAATTACATTGTCTGTAGCTACCGAAGCAAAGCTGGCGTTTAAGATGTAGAATATTGTCTTTATTTCTATTCGTTTTCATTTCTTTTTTTATAGTCTTGTATCAATGGCACTTGATCGTCACCCGTTTGATGTTTTCGCGTGTCCACTTTCTTAACTCGTGGCTTGTTTAACTTCAAAATATTTTGTTTTTAAAGTCTACATGTATTGTCTAGCAGGGAAAGGTCAAAACAACAACTCTGTAGTTACCTTGGATGTTTGAATTTCGATGCTTGGTTTTCGTCGTTCAACAGGAAGGCTTCCTCAAAGTCATGTTCACTTTATTACGTCAGCTTTGTAAACTAACAACTAGTTTTATAAGAACAAGCCTAGAGCAAAGTAAAGTGATTAATTATTGAAACCACTTCTCTAAAGAAGAACGATTCGCGCTTGGTTTTGCTTGTCAAACTTCTGAATTAGAACCAAAAAAGAATTTCTCCGGGCAACAAAGATTGCATTTAGTATGTATTCAGGGCAAAATGTACATCTTATTTTTCTATCGTTTTTCGGAAAACCTTTGTAGTATTGATGGTAAGCACTCAATCGTTTGGTGACCTGTTACTGGCAGTGGTATTATATTTTAAGTCTTTATCGACCCGTGAAGTTCAAGTACCATGATAATAGACCAGTAGGATTTAAAAGGGAAATAGCTGTAAGTTTGTTTCGACGACAAAAGAAATAAAACTGGTTTCTCTGGGAGTCCGGGATCCTTAACCAGGGACAAAAATGACGTGAACATTCTTATTGCTTTCGTAAATTCCTCCTTTTCGAATTTCACACCTATCGTCCTCAAACCTTCTTTCTTTCTTTCTTTCCTTTCCTGTCCTCCTGCTAATCTTCCAGCTGTTTTTCCTTCCTGCCTTGAATCCTTCCTTCCTTGAGTCCCTCCTTCCTTCCCATGCTTCCTTTCAATATTGATCTTTCTTTCGTGCTTTCTTCGTCAATGGAGTCCTTCCTTCCTTCCCGCTACTGTATTTATTACTCGCTCGTAGCAATCATGATTTGTGCAATTTAATTGATTATAGCAATATAAAATTTTAGGTTTACCATCCCCTCCACCGTACGCCCCTAAAAATAAATAATAATAAACCACAAAATAAAAACAATTTCTACTAGAAGAAATTAAACCAACAGTTTGAAACCCCAGAAGAAATAGTCATGAGGTATCAAAATAGATTAATTCTTAGTCCGGTACGATTTAGGGTGTTGCTATGGTATTGCTATTGGGCGTTGCTATTGTCCAGCCGTATTATGCCATTTTCTATAATGTCTTCATTTATTTTAAGTCGTGTTCTGAGGTATAATCTTGTCGAGTTTCATTCAACAAAAATTGGTACAATAAGTCCTTCTTTTAAAAGAAATCCAGTATTATATCCAATATTATATAGTTTATCTATAGGTCCAATGTTTTATTTTTTATTTTTGTATTTTAATTAAAACGCTTGCTATGAAAAATGTAGAGATTTTCCCGTCAATGTTACGAATCACCGTGGGCTCAGATGAAAGACTCATTTTATAACAGAATGCGCGTTTGCCTCCGTTGAAGGCGCGTCGTTCTATAAATAGTCATGAAGACAATAGTGTCAATTTCGAGGGATATAAATGAAAACAGATTCACACACAAAAAGAGGTCCGAATATATTAAAGGAAAATAATTATTCTTGGCATAAAACAAAGAATCTGATTATAAAAGAGCATTGTTTTGCTTTATTTGTTATCAAAAAGAGCAGTCACCGTGGAGAAACAACCTGCAGGCTGATAATCAGCATTACGTCATCTAAGATTATAGGAAATCGAGAAATATTGACTTGACCGGCCAAAATAACCAGGAAAATATCTTGTTCGCTATCCACATGGCTCTGTAAACATTGGACTTTTTCTTCTACTCCTGTGGAAGTTAGACGAAAATATTTTATTTAATTCGATTCTGGATGCAACTAATGGTAAGTCTTAATGTTCTAATAAAAAAATTTTCCGGCTCTCGAGCCGTTACGCTGGGAATTGTAATTCAATAAAACTTGTAACTCATTAACTGAGAGTTTAAAATGTCGGTATGAAGTTAGAAAAATGTTATACAGTTTTATTATAAAGTGAAACAAATTTGCAGAAGATGAAATTTGCCCTTTAGCGTATGGTATCATGATTTTCATTCAACAAGTTTGTTCACTAAAGTAATTCTAATTTGTATTTATTCACGAAACACTCCTACATTGTCATGCCACTCAAACGGATCATCGAGCGAATGTCAGTTTATTTTTCTTTACTCTTTTCTTCTAACAGGTTTTTCATGGTTGAATGGTCTTCTAGCTATGAAGAGACAAGCAGTTTTAATCGTTTTTTTCATTACTATATTTCAGTTTACAGGTATAGTGACATGTTGAATGTATGTTTGCAGCAGTATAGTCTGATCGATGATAAAACGATAGTAATATACGACATTCAAGTTACTGAGATAAATCAGAACAGTATGAAAACTTGAAAGGCAAATCTATCAGGATAATTGACAGAATTAAGGAGGCATCCTTGGGAGCTATTGAACAAGCACTTCTCTCTAACAAAAATAATATAATTTTTTAAAAATCCCTCCAGTTTCGATTTCTCTTTCGCTCAGCCTTGGCGCCGGTTGTGAATTACAATTTCAGCCATTCAACAGACAAAACCCGTGAAATTTTACAGTAATCAACTTGTATTGTTCCGCAGTAACTGTATGATACATCCTTTGATAAAAGAAAAGAACACATTTTTGTACACGATCGAGGCTAAGACTGAGCAAAGACGAATAGTTCATGGTGGCGCCAACAAGCAACAACAGCAAAAAAACAAAAAACAAAAAAAGAAAAAATATTTAAAATGGTTTGCAATCATTCTCAAGAAAGTGATAGAACAAACACAGCCGCCATATTGGTTGATATAGCAATAGAAACAAAGAAACAATCTTTTGTTGAATTTAACCAACATGACGGTTATGACGTCACATCAAAACCGGCGACAAGAGTAATCTTACCGACATGAAAGCCATGACGTAGAGCGTAAAGTAAATAAAGCAACACCGGTCTTATAGATCAAAGGAAATGATCTTAGTCCCGGAGTTCCGCACTGAATGGCTGGTAGACACCTGTGAAGCCTTGTTCACTAAAAGTCGCGGTCCTTCTACAAATGACCTGCATAAGCAGAGTATTATATGCAGCAAAACGCATTTATACCGTAATGCGCATGAGCAGATCATCGTTTTGTAGTCAGTTATTTGCAGTTATCTCGGCCAATCAAAACGACGGTAAAGAGAGTTTGAATGATAATCTTGTTTATCTTTTTAAATAAATAAATATTGGACTTCCTAGATATTCAATCAAAGTCGATTGGACCGGGGTGACTTTGCTGGATGGATGGCCCAAATTTCATACCTAGTCAAGGATCTAATTTTGGTCAGTTGTTTGGCTTTCGGTATATCATTTTTCGACCTCCGATCGGCAACGGTGATACTCTGACGGGTAGGCAAGAACACCAGGTTAAACATGACTTAAAAGTTTATTTGATATTTGAATAGTCTTTGCTTGACTACATTATATTTTCATCCCATTCTATATTTAGTTGCTGTCAAGAATAAAGATAAAGAAGCTTTAATAAAGAATAATAGAAATACTCGCGAATACAGTAAGTACTGCATAAAAAATACACAAAATGTAATGAGCTTTGAAGGGTTGATAGAGGGAAGAAAAATAGGAGGGCCAGAAAATCCTTCGAAGTCAGAAAGAGAACTAAGAGTTGAAAGAGGCGAGCGTTTTTTTACCACCACACCACCCTGACTCTCCAAAAAGAGAATGTTTGGTGTGTTTTTCGAATTCTTTCCCTTCTGACATTTTTCCCCAGGTCGTTCTCTGTTAATTTGTTTTCTCCCTCTCCGTAAAATATGCAGCTTGTGATTTGAGAGTTGTGCTTACGGAATAATGAATGTAGTGGTATAGTATATGTGAGTGACAAAGTGGAAACCTATACTAGCAGTATTCATGTTGAATTTATTCTCTCGCTATTAAAATTATACGTCGACTATCTTAATATAAAATCCTAAAAGCATTTGTTATGATTTTCTAGAAACTCTTCGTGAGCTGCTCGGGAAACCGAAAGATAACCGTAAGTATGACAAGTCATCAACCATACATCCTAGCTCTAAAGCTGCATGGTTCCAGTCAAGCTTTAACTAATTTATTGAGTTCGATTAAAAAGCGAATGCGACAAATTACCATCTTGACTGTCATTTTGCTGTTAAAGAAAAAAATTAMAACTTTTTTGCATCTTCTCTTCCCTGTTGACAAAAGAAAATTAAACACTATCCAACTATGATCAGCCCGAAAGCTAAGTAGAATGCTCGCACTAAACACGTAAAACAAATACTAAGGATTCTGAATTACTACTAATTAGTACTAAATATTATTCACGGGTTTAGTGCGTGCACTGTAATAAAACCAGCAATTTTGGTTGGTTGAAGAAACTTTTATTTCAAAACTAGTATTCAACTCTCTAAGCAAAACCAGTGCAGTAGGAAGTTCAGATAGATAACGAATCTTGAATGAATGCGCGCTAACTGTTACGACCGCTGCTGTCTTGAAATAAAGTAGGGTGTATATTAAAGATATTTTGCACAAACATAAACCGACCACTGATGCTTTTCAGGTGAGAATATTTTATCTTCAAATGGCTTATTTTTTTCTTATTTTCCTCAGCTGCTGCGGCAAAAGCCATCAAAGGAACCAAGAAAACAACTCGGTTACATAAAATCTGTTCATGGAAAAAACACATGAAAAATGAACCAGATGAATGGGCCGAGGACAAGAAGGTCTATGATAAGCTGATATGTGGTATGTATACCATGAAGGACGAGTACAAGAAACATGCCAACACAGCGGCTATGATTCTTGCGGGCAAGCACAAGGACAAATCGTACGAAGAGCAAAAGAAATACTTGTTTGACGCGGTGACCAGGATGGCTAAGGCAGCAGGGCCGTTACCTCCTCTAAATCTAAAAATGATCGGGAAATAAATACTTTGTATATAAAATGCAACATATATTAGTACATTATAAAAATGCAGGCAGCATACAGGTACGATACAATCCCAAGCTTGGCATGCCGGCATAGAGGCTACAGAGGCCGGTATAGAACCATCACGTGATGGCAGCCATGGCAGGAGGCAGGAACAATCCGAATCAGGTTTAATCTGATTTACATATGAGAAATAATTCAGTTTCCCAGGATAAAAATACTATATTTTCGTGCCTCCTGTCATGGCTGCCATCACGTGATGGTACAAAGTCTCTATTAAAGACGCTGAATTTTGAATCTTTTTTGTGTGATTGCAATTCGTGCAAGACGTGTAACGAAAGTCTTAGCGTTTTACAAACTTCAATCTGTAAAATTTTTGCAGTGCAATTGGTTCTTAAGAAATCTGATTGGCGATCAATTTTTGACATCTGGCTAGGCGACAAATAATAACTTTCTTGTAAGGTTATAAGTTCAGTAAAGACACCATGCCATAGGCGTAATGCTTTCCTCTTCTAGACACGTGTCATTCCCTTGAGTATGATTTACTTCAGTGCATAGTTAATTGACTATGTTCAGTGGTAGTATTGAAGAAGATGAAAGTTACAGTAACGTGGATCTATCCAACGACAATTCATTACAATTGAGATGAGTTTTTGCACACGGTTTGCACACGAACAATTTAACGAAAATTTGACGTTTTGGCGGTATTTTTGGGGGGATGCTATCTTGGGAAAGGCTGAAATACGAAAACATAGCCCAGCTGACAAGCGAAAAATGTAGAAACAAATCAAAATAGTTGATAATCAACTGTACGATAAATGTCAGTTTCCTGTAAGAAATGCAATGCTGGGAAGGAGTAAAAAAGATATAGAGGTTTTATAAAATAAAAATAATAAAATTGTTTACAGTTTTATAAGATATTTTGTCACTTATTATGGTAACCATCCGCGATTTTTAAAGTACCTATGACACCTAACTCAATATTTTCATTATTGATTCTACATGAAGTGAATATTTGAATGTGATGAATCTTGGAGATAAAATAGTACCACTCAGCTTCGTGTAAAATCAATATTGAAAATATTGAGTTAGGTTTTATATGTAATTTAATAGTGACAGCCCCCTTAGTTCTTGCACCTGAAACAGATTTTGGACTGTATTCCTTACTATTAATGCAAGCCATGAACTTGAAGCATTCTGATTGGATGAGCATGAACGCTCACTTCACGAGCTTTGACTGGTTTATGCGCTGTACAGCACTTTGGTTCCCAAAACAGACTTACGAAGACAGGACTTGTAAAGGGAGAGCCTAAAAAGCACTCAGTTGATGTAATGTAATCAGAAGATCTATTGTATCCTTTTGTCCTTCGATCTATTGTAGTATGTGCGATTCATTGTGTCTTTATGAATTTGTATTTACGTCAAATTCTTGCTACGTAGGATCTCCCAAGCCTTTGGTGGATAAGGCGACCAAAGCTTACTGCAGGTTTTCTTTAATTGCAGTTTTTCAGTGTTTCAGAGTTGAACTTCAATTTCCAGTCATATGACTGTTTCATATAAGGAGAGAGACTATCAGGCATTTTTTGAGAGTTATCATTTTTGAAAATCTAAATATTGGAGCGAAATTCACTCTAATAACACAGGAATACCAACACTTTTTACTCAAATATGGCCTGGTTTCTAAGCTCAAAAATGGCGGCTGAGGTAAACATCAAGAGTTCTTTTCTTTACAAACGAAATGGTGCTTTCTTTTCCAAGATATTTGAAAATTTTACGTATATTTTGGAGAAAAAAATGCTGTAATATTGATGGATGTTTGACCGAACAGAAAGAAGAAGGAATTGCTTTTCAAGAAGGTAAATGAAACCATTGATATCTAAATAATCGATCCTGAACACCAGGTTTTGACTTTGTCCTTTGTGCAGAGCAATTTTATATTTTTATTGCGGAGAATCATAAAGGCA